TTAAAAAATATTAAAATCATAGAGGTCAGCTGCTTAAGCAAAGCCAGATGAGGAGAGCAGTCTGTGTTTCATCCCTTAGTTGTAAACAATGAATAAACAGCCCAAGAACTTCTTTCTTTGACAGTTGCGACGGGTATACACCAGTAACATCACTAAAATGTAACACCTACAGTGATTGCTCTGGAAATCTTGGTATTCTTACTACTGCATTTTCGCAGTTCTGTCCACAGGCTATTTTTTGACATACGTAGAATTCTTCAAACCGTGAACTTTCTTTATAAATACTTAGCGTTAAAGTGGACAGAGGCCGAGGTAAGAAACCTACGTTATCAATGAAATAGATTGTAGTATTGCAGTATTTCACTGGTGGTTTTAATGCCGTTGCGCAGCCGAATGATGGCCTCGACGAACCCATCGATGAAGGAATCTAAATTACATAACCATATTTTAATGAAGAAAAGCATTTTTGGAAAATAAAAAAGTTTGGAAGCACGGCTATTTGGCTGACAGGCGACAACGATTGTAGGATTTAGAATGCCCAACCCAGTCGACACCCAAAAAACATGTGATACTAGCAAAAATACATCCTGTAGTGCAGTCAAAAAAACACCGCATAATTATGCATTTTTGCATACATGTAAATGCGAAAACGCATATTGTGACGATCCCGGTGTGTGCAATCATCTGTCCGGGTTTTTTCTACTTGCCAACCATGCAATCTTTTGTGTCAAAATTTTTTTTGCCATTGTGTCAAGTGCAACCCCAAAAACGTGATATCAACTGCCCCGCACGTCTACACGGATACGTGAAAATTTTGGCAGGAAAACTGCTAACTCGGGGGCGAAAAAAGCTAAAAAACTGAAACTTTAGGGGAACCTTCACTGCTAATATGCAATAAAAAGATTTCAACGTTAGCTCCTTAGAATAGCTCGGGATTCACTTACGGACATATGGAAATTTTAGCGGGAAATTGCTAACTCGGAAACAAGAAAAGCTGGAAACTTGGATTTTTGAGAAAATGCTGCCTATTTATGTGCGACTAAAAGATTTTAAATTCAACGCTTCTGGCGTGGATGTTTTTTCGCGCACCAGCTGCTTCCAGTTTGTCGGGTCACTGAAGCCGACATCTACGACTGACATGCCACATAGTTGCAGCCCAACTTCCTGAACTTCGAGGGTCAGTATGGCGTAAATTCTAGCTACCATGATTCTTCGCGATTTTGCTACAGCATGAAATAGTGCAAAAACACATGATCGCACCGGCCCGCCTGGCATATACCAGCCTGGGTTTTCTAATCAATGATAGCGGAAAATCCTCCTCAGACTAGTGAAATTTTCTTTAAAATTTTTTAAGATTTTCTAGTGGTGCATGCGTAATCGAAAATAAATAATTTTTGTAACCTTTGATCCATATGCAGTTTTCACCAGTTTTCTCGTAACATGCAAATCGCCCATAACAATATGATTTAGGACAAACGCTTTCTCATCCGTTAGATTCTGAAATATGTGTAATCTTCAAAGCATGTAAATTTGCTTCCAGAATAATTCGACGAGTGACGGCTGAGGATAAAGAGGGTTTTCTTTGGATTTTAAATTATCCTGAAAGACATTTTTGTGATGTATTTCTGCAAATCATTTGTAGACATACAGAGAAGTGGACGCGTGGGCCAAAAAAACCCAGAAAATTTCAATGCGGTGCAACCTGGAACGAGTCAATTGGCGGTACGAATATGGCCGCAGGTTCATCTTCTAGGCCGATGTTGCGCTCCACAAGATCCAGA